GGGGGGCCCACAGGACCCTGGAGACTCTTCTGCCTCTTCTTCACCTTTTGAGGGCCTCGACGTCAAACTCTGTGAAGGTAAACTCATGCTTTAGGCTACAGCTAGCTGTAGCTAGCTGTAGCTAGCTGGGGCTAGCTGTAGCTAGCTGTAGCTAGCTGTAGCTAGCTGTAGCTAGCTGCAGATAGCTGTATATAACAGTTTCAGGTTGTAGTTAGCTGTAGCTAGCTGTAGGAGCTGTATATAACTGTAGCTAGCTGTAGCTAGCTGTAGCTAGCTACAGCTAGCTACAGAGAGGGCCCCCCTCATTGGGTGCCGCGTACTGACACCTGTACGGGAGAGGGTACACGTCAGGGTGTCCTCGCTCTTGCTGCTGCTGCTGCTGCTGCTTCTGCTTCTGCTTCTGCTTCTGCTGCTGCTGCTTCTGCTGCTGCTGCTGCTGCTGCTGCTGCGCGCAGCATGGGCAGCAAAGCGGGGTCTGACGATTGTTGAGGAAGAGAAGACGAGCAACAGGCGGCAGGTGAAGCCTAACACACTTCTTCTCTGCTTCTGTCTCCTCTTCTGTCTCCCCTTCTGTCTCCTGTCTCCTCTTCTGTCTCCTCTGCTTCTGTTTCCTCTTTTGTCTCCCCTTCTGTCTCCTCTTCTGTCTCCTGTCTCCTCTTCTGTCTCCTCTTCTTCTGTCTCCTGTCTCCTGTCTCCTGTCTCCTCTTTTGTCTCTTCCTCTGTCTCCTGTCTCTTGTCTCCTCTTCTTCTCTGCTTCTGTCACCTGTCTCCTCTTCTGTCTCCTCTTCTGTCTCCTCTCTTCTTCTGTCTCCTCTTCTGTCTTCTGTTTTCTGTCTCCTCTTGTTTTCTGTCTCCTTTTCAGTTACTTGTGTCTCATTTGGGGTGTACACGTGTCTCCTTTTGTTTTTTTGTTTCTTTCTTACGCCATCCCCAATTTGTTATTATTTCTGCTCTCTCCTCTGCTGCTGCTGCTGCTGCTGCTGCTCCCGCTCCCGCTCCCGCTCCCGCTGCTGCTGCTGCTGCTCCCGCTCCCGCTGCTGCTGCTGCTCCCGCTCCCGCTGCTGCTGCTGCTGCTGCTGCTGCTGCTGTTGCTTGCTGCAGCAAACTCGCCCCATGAAGCGTCTAGCTGCGTTTCTATGGGCTTACAGCCGGCTGCCCCCGCCGCACCTGGGGGCCCCCGAGGCGGCCAGGGCCCTGACCCCCCCCGAGGGGGCCCCCACGAAGCAGCAGCTGGAGCAGCAGGTGCAGCTGCAGCAGCTAAGAAGAAGAGTTTCATCAGAAATAAATCAGCAGGGGATACACCCCGCTGTCTTAGACGCTTTTTGGCTCTTCTTCACTGATGGAGAGACGCGTAAGCCCTCAGCTGTATGTACACCTCTCTCTGTATATATATATATATATATATATATATATNTATATATATATATATATATATATATATATTATCTGTCTATCTATCTGTGTATATAATTACTACTATATATATAATATATATATTATATATACTCTCTCTCTCTCTCTCTCTCTCTCTCTCCCTATATATATATATATATATATATATATATATATATATATATATATATATATATATATATAT